TTGATATATAGTTTGTTGAAATATGATAAAAATGATGGAAAAATATCCATTCCAAAAAAATGTAGGGATGAAAAAATGATCTGAAATTCAGCTACAATTTTTAAGCTCTACCAATGTAAATTGACCACCGCAGCCAACTTGTAAAAACACAAAAGGCTGTAATTTAGTCAGTTTTTCAGTTCTGCTAATATCATTTGTTGTAACTAAGTCATTCACATCTCACACCTCAAGTTAAAGGCATTGCTCAAGGTCTTTGCTCAAAACATTAGCATTAACTAACCTGTTTGTCTGCCAGCAGTATATTGGGCGATATTTGCCTCTCGTCTGTAAATCTGTATTCGTTATGGTAATTTAATACACTCGTTTTTTTTCTCTTTTTTTTTTCAGAAAGATCTTCTATGCCTGAAACCAATGCTTCCATCCTGGTTGAACGTCACAGACCGACAACTGAAATCTGCTGAGAGCCTTCAGCAGGCAGCTCAGAGCATGGAGCATGATCTGAGCATGGGTCTGTCCCTTTGGGCTGTCGCGGCCATCGTTTGTAACTCCGTGGTGGGTGTCCTCATCATCATCCTCTTTGTCATACTCTACAAAGCCTGCAAGGTGCCTTCACACCAAGAAAAGTTGCTGTTTTTTGCAGCACGACTGGAGCAGAAGGAGACGGAGCAGAAGTGCATGCTCACTGCAGCCTGATTGGGATTCCCTGATAGGATAATTGGATCCATAACTCAAACCCCTCGTACATTTCTTTTTTAATTTTTTCTTTTTTGCTCTCTGTTCTGCTTTGTGCTACACGCTGTTTACCGTTCTCCACTGTCTCTTCTGTGCCCATTCAGTGGAGCTCAGAATGAGCTAACCGCATGAAGATTTGTGGTTGGACCAACGACAACAACAACAACAGGCAGGCCCAATCCTCTTATCTGTGCTGCGCGTCTCTGGGACCGTCCATCTGTCATTCAGATTGGCTCGCTCGGCACATGCAGACTATGATCTCCTCTTCTGCTCCATTCTTTCCCAGCCCTCTGTGTGAGACAGTGGAGAGGGCGTGGAGGAGAAGCAGCACAATGAAGTGGAATAGACAGGTTAGGGTTTACAAGGTTGGTTGACAGGCAAAATAAAAATTTAGATGGGAGCAACAAAATGTAGCGGTGTTGCTCACAGGCTTTTTTTTTTTCCTCCAAAGTGCTGCACTAATGATGACAGCAGACACACAAAAGGTACGACGGCCTTAAAGAGGAATAAGGGGGAACAGAGATGTTGCTGGAGGACGCGTCTGAGTGGAGACAGACGGAGATAAAGTTTGGGTTTATATTTTCGGGTGGTGGAGGATTGAGAAAGTGCAGGGGAAGAATTAGAAACGGGACGCTTTGATGTTTTGTTGACAGAAGGTAGAGCTCGAGGGCCCTGTTTGACAGTCTCCACATTTAATACACACAGGTTTCTGCTCGCGCTGATCCAACTCCCACGGGATTAAAAGCAACAGCTAAAGTGTAGCTGCAACAGTGTTTGGGTTGTTCTGCTGTGCCTCGCTTTCATTCCTTCAGCTTCCAGAAAGACAGAGTGAGATATTTACAGACAGGCGTGATCAAAACTATAAGACAGAACCTTCAGGGTTTCAAGTGTTACACAAAGTTATCCACATGCAGTTGTGTTTGTGTATATATGTGTATATACATGTGTTTAAAAGTAAATCAGATGCTATTCTGATAAACAATAGGTCTCTGCGTGGAAATGTTTGTTGAAATGTAACCTCAGGTTATTCTGCTTTCAGTCCAATTAGAAGAAAATTAGCAGATTTTGCTTCCTAAGCAGCGCTTTGTTCTGCTCCAGTTAGTAAACATGAAACATTTTCATGTAATAACATTTAATAAGCTGCTGCTGCTGCACTGTGAAATGTTCTCTTGTTCAGACCGATTCCAGGATTCAGTCTGGTTGATTTTAATTTGGCGAGCCAAAGTACATATTTTGTTGTTTTTTTTTTAGATAAATGTTTGTCTTTTCTTTTCATCAGTTCTGTTGAATAAATTAAACATAACATAACATAACACAACATAACATAACATAACATAACATAACATAACAAATTAAAATTGAATAAATCAGTTTAGGTAAATTTATAACCAACAGGGGCAGAGCTAGACTTTGTTGCAAGGGGTGGCCAAAGTGTTTTTTAGAGCAGTGACTCTCAACCAGGGGTACCTATACCCCTTGGGGTGTTCGAGCATATTACAGGGGGTACGTGGAAAACTTTCTCAGGTGTGTAAAAACATTAATAAAAATAGGACTGAGATATGTAGGGCCCTATGATTTCCACAATGCAGAAAATGTAGATGGAATCATGGAATTAACAGAAAATGGAATCCAGTATAAAAGGAGGACTCTCACAGAATTTGCTTATTTGGAGTATTTGATGTATTTTGGACGCTGCTGTTTTCTGCACCTGTCATTACCTGGTTTAATTTTTTTAATTACTTATTCACTTTCAAGGCAACATTTGTACCTTTATGTTTACTTTGAGTTGAATTAAATAAAATGCCTGAGAATTAAACGTTATATGGGGTTAAATAAATAATGTTCATTTAATAATCAGTTGTAGTACATTATAAAAAAAATAAGTAGTAGTACATTATAGTTTTGGAGAATCATCATTACATTTGACAGAGGGGGTACTTGCGGTTTGACAAAATGGCTCAGGGAGTACACAAGTCTAAAAGGGTTTGGAACCACTGTATTAGAGGACACATACAATTAAAGAAAATGTTGAAAATTCAAGACAGCTGATTCCTAATAGCTTTAATTCAGCTGTTTTAAGAAACACTGAGCTGAAATTTGGTGTGATCATAGCTAAGAGTAAGTGTGTTTCCATCAAGGCTTTTTGATGCACATTTAGAAGTGTCACATTAAAAATGCAGAAAAAAAGTCGGATGGAAACAGCAAAATTCGAAAAATTAGCTGCAATTCGCTAAAAAGTTTTTCAGCTCGCTTGAGGTGGTTTTTGGGTTTTTCGAAAAACTCTTAATGCACAAAGGGAGAGATGGAAACACTTTTGCCGAATAAGTTGGGACGTAGCGAACATTTACCTCACGCAGCTGATCAGCTGTTCCCCAGTACCGGTACCAGTTTCGGAACAGCTGCAGCCGCGACTGGCAGAAAGACCCTCCTCCAGCTGTTGGCGTCTTCTTAGTAATCCCGTAACGTGAAGAAAATTGCATTTCTTTCTCTATGTCTCCAGACAGCAGTAACATGGCCAAAACTAGTTGATAACAGAATAATTATAACTTTCCTGATAGTAGCAACACGTTCCTGATAACTTCTCTCCATTTTCCTGAGATGTGTGGACCCTGCGAGTTTAGCGACGGTTACTTCCTGTTTACTACGCACATGCRTATGACGTAATTGATTCGCTTCAAGCCAGTTGATGGAAATTCCGTTTGATTCACATTTCTTAATTTTTTTCTTTTTTGCAAAATTATTAAAATTCGCTCAAAATTCGAATTAAAATTGGATGTAATTGGATGGAAACACGATTATTGATCCAACAAAACATGCTGAATGCTAGTCACAACTTAATACCTATCCAAGTTAGATATAAAAAGCTGAAAATTAGTGCAGAAGTAGCTGAAAACTATCTTTACCAAATTTTAGATGCTAATCAAAACTTCAAAATGGCCACCACAGCTAACTTTAAAAGGCTATTCAATCATTTTAAGACTCCTTGAGATGAAATTTGTTGTGGAGTATCTAATGATCACATGCTGATTGTCAGTGCTAATCCCAAATTAAGCTAACCACAAATGCTATTGGTAATTTTACAAAGGGCTATAACATTCACAGCTAAAAGAATTGTACATTACTGTAGTATCAGAGAGCAATTTTTAACAATATGTAAATATATATACAAAATGTAAGATCCCCACCCACTTGTCAGTTATTTGGGGGTGGCACCTCAGGTGGCCAATCAAGTGCCAGAGGTGGCATTTACCACCCTGTGGCCACCCCTCTAGTGCCGCACCTGATAACCACAGTTGTAATGAGAATGAGTAATTTATATTTAAAATTACATTGAACAAACTTTTGTTTTTTTTTTTTACTTTAAACTAACAAAATATGTTGCTAAATAAAGTCATTCTTCATTTCAAAACAAACCGATGCAAGTATTTATTGTACTCAACATTTCCTTTATGTAGTCACATTTTAAAATTGTAACATTAACATTTAACAAATAAAACATTTACACAATTAACTAATTTAAACCATATCAATGTGACCTGAATAACTCAATTTGCCACATCGTTATACTTGGGAGAGGCTTACTGTGCAGCTTACAGCAATATTTTATTTCCATTAAAAAAATGCTCTGCAGCATTTTACTTGATCATTTTGCCTTAATGAAAGTTAATTTTATAACTGATACAATAAAGAAAATTTTAAACTCCGTTAAGCCCAGTGTTTTGTTCTTTAAAGTATTTTCATATTGTTTAAAAAGTGGAGATTGAAGTAAATTGCAGCTGACCTCTCTGAGATAATCAGTGTTAAACATGCTATTTGTTGTAACTGTGACCCACTTCCTGTTGTTAATCAGCTACAAGCACATAATCCTTATCTTGCTCCCACAATCCAGAATCGTTATAATGGTTTAGTGAGTGCAAACTGCTTATGTCTTTAAATGATTAGTTAACATCATTATAGTGAGTTTACAAGTCATTTTCAGACTTTGAACTAAAAAACATGGAAATGCAGCAATGAAACAAATTATTAAACATGAACCAAGAAAGTACAGATTAATTAGTTGTACTTGTTATTTTAATTTCTTTTCCACATGCTGTCCATCACAATATAGGATATAAACTGCATAAGACTACACTGATGATTTTTTTTTGTGTGTGTGTGTGTGTGTGTGTGTGTGTGTGTGTGTGTGTGNGTGTGTGTGTGTGTGTGTGTGTGTGTGTGTGTGTGTGTGTGTGTGTGTGTGTGTGAAAGTAGCTATTGATGTGTTGTTGCAGTTTTTCTATAGTAGAAACCAAAATGCAGGTATCAAGGCTGGAGAAACTAGAGGAAGAGTAGAGCCTTAGTAAAAAAAAATAAAAAAAATAGGGTTGACCAGGCAACACTGTGCTAACTTTATAAAAAAAAAACACTGAAGCACAAAGAAACAAATATGGATCAGTTACAAAAAATAAAGAAAGAATGTCAGCTGAGTGTATTTCTGCCAGGAGGAGTGATTACTGAGTGGGAACAGGTGAGTAGAATGAACAGACACAGAGCAGGTGTGAATGCTGAGCTGAATGCCAGGATGACTGAGAGAAACTGGCCAGTGACACAGGTAGGAAACTAACAGGAGATGTGCTGAACTTAGGAAATTATTGAAATGAAGAAAAACAGAACTGAGTGTAACAAATAATGAGCAACTTAACCTGCAAAAATAAATACAAAACCCTAAAACAAGTGAGATAAAACTAATTTTCCAAGGGTACAATAAAGTAGATAGCATTGTGCTGTATTTTCTTATAGTACAATACGTTCTATCATATTATGCCATATTGCATCAAATCATGTATTCATTTTATTTTATTTTTTATATAAAGTACCCTATTGTGTTTTGTAATGTAAAGTTTTACATAGCAAAACAGAACATAATCAAATCATCATTACGTTTAAACATTTTTTACAATAATAACATTAAGAGGGTTTTACATCATTAAATGTAGGTAATTTATTTAGGCTGATTTGTGTTTTGAGCACAAATCTTAACTTACCACAAAAAATAAGAAAATGTGTGTTTTGGTACATTATTTCGTTTTTGTAAAAATGCTTGTTGTGTCTTATACCAGTGGTGTCCAAAGTCAGTCCTCAAGGGCAGGGCTGTGTCCAAAACGACAGGCCGGGTCCTCCGGAGGACCCAGTCTACCCAGTCGAGGTGGTCCGGGTCCTTGGTAGACCGGCAAGACCGGAAAAAAAGAGGCTGTGAATTTTGACCGTCTAGCCTCCCGTCCTTACCCCGGCGTACGTCATGTCACCTAGCTTCTGTGACGACGCTAAACAGAAGCAAAGTTAGATCAAAATTAGAAAAATATAAATATATCAGTGTTAATAATTTCACAAAAAATGAAATTAACTTCAAGGTAATATTTGAAGAACTAATTGACCAGCCGTAGGTGCATGTTTATTTCATGATTTTATGACAAAAATAATATTTAAAAACATGCCTATATTCAAATGATAAAAGTATTAAAATTACAACTGCTAGAAAATTTTTATTTTTATGTCGCCATATTTTTATTTAAAACAGATTCTTTTCTCTCGCTTCGTCCGCCATTCCTAGCATGACAAAAAAATCACCGGTTGGGCCGCAATGCATTATGGGAAGGATCCATTGGATTAGTCCTTCAATTCGGGCCAAAGGAAGGACACATTTGTCGGCCGCATCGGAGGAGTCTTCGGTTTTGGACGGCCTTCGTCACGGCGTTGTGACATATGTGGCCGACAAATTCGGCCTTCGGAGGACCCAGCCCACCGTTTTGGACACAGCCCAGGTGTCCTGCATGTTAGGTGCTGCCCTGGTTCGACACAGCTGAATCAAACGAGTGCTTAAAGAGTAACTTACCCCAAAATTAACTTTTTTTAGCTGATAAACTGTCTAGAATGTGTCTAAAATGTTATATAGTACTGTTTCTGTGCTAATTTTGATGTTTTTGTGCGTATTTGTCCAAATCTGTAACATTTGGTCTAAAAACGTCTTTTTGCTGCTCATATGGGTAGAGCAGTGGTACTGCAGGCTAATTTGCATATTGGTTAACAGCTCTCCTCTGTGACGTGCTTCTTCACAGTTTCGTCACAGCAGCTGTGTTCTGGTATAAAAGCCTCTCTCTAAGACACGCCCCTGCAGCAGTCAGAGGGTGGAGCTGTTAGCAAGCTTAGCATGATCGTCTGTTGACCTGGGTGGGGAGAGCTGACTGCTGCTCTCTCTCTCCCTCTCTCCACACACACACACACACACACACACACACACACACTCCAGCAGTACTCCTGCACAGCGGGAGGGGAGGAGGGGAAAAAAAGGCAGAAACAAAGCGGGGCAGCTGCAGCCCTAACGGACCAAACTTCAGTCAAACAAGACCCAACACTTTTATTCATGATTTATAGTGATCTTGAGAGCAGCTGCAGCTGTATGCTTTTCTTTTTTTTCTGTCAGGCTGTCACAGAGCCTCCGCCTCCTCTGCCCTGTGAGGTGGATAGCTCAGCTGAGGCTGTCACGTTCTCTCGTCCTGGCCACACCTCCGCTCTCTAACCCCACCTCCCCTACCCACACCCCCTCCCCTACCCACTTTGATGCATTTTTCAAATTTCGCCTTGGGGCGGAGTTATCTTTTCACAGGGGGGGTAAGATACACTTTAATTAGTAGGATTCTGGCTGCAGACCTTGATGGCATACTGAGGAGGCCTACTAACTAAGCATTAAGGTTCAGCTGTGTTGAACCAGGGCAGCACCTAAAACATGCAGGACACCGGCCCTTGAGGACCGACTTTGGACACCCTGTCTTATACCATAAGGCCTGTTCATGTCCCTTTTAAATGGTGCCACAATTGTAAGGAACATGCATTTGTGTAATGAGCAGTAGAGCTGAGATATGTGGATTCCACAAATGCAAAAGTTGTTTTGAGTTTCTGGTACACCCAGGTGCTGTCAATCAGTTGTCCAGTATGAGATTTATTGCCAACAGGCATTGTTACAACAAAGAAATCAACTACTAAACACAAATTCCCTTACTTTTTGGGCTAAGTGTATTTAAAAAGTTGTGGATTTATCACAATTTTGGGACCTGCGTTATGTTGTTGAAGAAAGAGATACACTGTGTTGTTCTCGGAGTTTGAGTATGACAAACAGTACAATAATAAAACCTTTAATCACACAGTTTAGACATGTGTTTAAGTGTGGGAATAAAAGATTTATGGCCTTATAGCCTGTCTGAGACAGATGGCTGGAGCTTTAGGTTTATTTTAAAGTGCTCATCAGATGCTTCTCTGCTTTATTTTTCTATACATCTTCTTGACAGTTTCTCGTCTCGTCTCTGTGCTTGTTTTCCTCTGTTTCTCTGTTCAACCACTGACCAGATTCATGGAAACCAGCCACAAATCCAGCCATCTAATCAGCTGCAAGGTAGATGTGAAGGTCAACATGTTTTTGGTTCATGCCGTGCATGAACCGCTGCGCTAATCTTCCCTGATTTTCAAACCAAATCTCCACAACTGCAGACAGAAGTTTTTGTGAATTCTGTGTATATTTACTGAAAAACTGCCAGTTTCCAATCTATCTGCCCCGCTGACTCCCCTCAGAATCCATTGATCTGTCCATCACAAGTTTGGTTGTTTACTGTTTGTTATCTGCTTGAGATTAGACACGGCTGCTGTCAGCTCTTCGTAAGTGACTCTCAGAGGGAGAAGCCATGCAAGATGAAGTCAAATCTTTGGAGCAGAGGAGTCTCACATTCAGAGTGGTGTTATATAATTACAGGGACATTACAGGTAAAGAGATTACTGATACATGTGTGAAAGGGATAGTAATCTGATACTCCCATCTGCACCAACAGTTGCATAACTCAGTCAGTCAGCAGTGTTACTAAAGGAGCAAATGTTAATCTGTGTTTTCATAATCCAAAATGTGGGTTTTCTGCTTTATTTTTGCCTTACATAATGATTTTTGCCTTACATAATATATGATTAAACATAAATAAAACCTTTCAAAGATGGTTGTGTGAGTTTGCATCACAGCTGCAAATACATCATTTTGTGGTTGAACCCCACTGTTTATTTAGGAGTTGTAATGAGTCTATTCAACTTGTCTTTTTTATAGGCTTTCTCATGTGTGAACTGCTAATGATAATCACTTCTAATCAAATCCTCAGCAACACACATCACACTAACCTGCACGGAGACGGCTCAGCAGTGAAATGGATTTTGACAACAGTGCAGCTCTGACACTAAAATAACTGTTATTTAGCATAAATGTTGATTTTGTCAGCAAAGGTTTAATTATAGCATGCAACAAGCTGAAATAATGTGGTTGATGGGAAGCTCATCAGAATGCAGGGAAAGCAGTGGGACGTGGTGTTTAGGCGACAAAGAATAGCAATGAGAAAAGCCATCGTGTTTGATTTGCAAATTTACATTAGTTTTGGATTTTTTTCCCACAAAAGTGGCTCATAAATTACAAGCAGTATAGTTAAAGTTGGAGATCTTGACAAAAAGGAAATAAACACATCTAATTTACAGAATTGTGTATAAATTTGGGCTTCAATCTGATCAGACTGAAGTGCAATGACCTGCTGGACCCTGGAAGCAACTTTGACATTCAAGTCTGCCATCCCTGTCCCATTTGGTGTTAGACTGCCCCCTGCTGGCTCAGACTGAAACTGCAGCTGCTGACTGCAGCATAATCTGCAAGAACCTCCTGCGTTTCTGTGGTCAGATCAGACTGCTGCTGCCCTCTGCTGGTGCCACTGTGTTAGGACAATATTCTCTCAGGACAGGAATGACAAATGGGAAATGTTTGAAATCATCTTTTCTCTTTCTCAACACTGCAGATGTCAGAGGTGTCATGTTTGTTTGGTAAAGGTAAGAATTGCAGCAGTGAAATTTTATCTTTAAAAGTGTATATGCATAAAAGGTAAATTAAAGTAAATAAAATGTACTTATTTTCAGAAGAATTTCAATATTGATGAAAATGTTACAATGATTGTTGAGATCATTTATCTATAATTTAATAATTTAACTAAAGCTAGAGAGATGATTTCATTTCAGAATTATTTACCTGGGTTTTTTTTTTCATTTCTCTAAATTTCCTCAAGTTTTAAACGTAGATAAACCTACAGAAATGACACAAAACGTTTTGTACTTAACTATTTTATTTGTTAAGAACACAATTAAAATACAGCATTTTTAGTGCAGAAGAACTAAGCTGTTTTATGTCTGCTGTGTTTTTAAGTAAATATTCCTACAAACAGTTTATCAATCCTGGACGTGAGCATGAAGAAAGTAATTTAGTCCTCTAAACAGAACAGCTCCCACTGTGAGATGTCAGTTCTTTTCTGTTTCAGTACTGATGTTCGGATTTTAATTTGATCATTTCAAAGCTCAACTGATTTGTCTTCAGGCACTAAAAAATAAACTGTTTTGTCTGTAGAAGATACAGAATGCAATCAGCTATATGAAAACAAAGAAAAACTTCTAACACCAAAGCCCATTATAATGTATAATAAAGGGACAATTAAGATTTAAATTAAAAAAAACATTTAGTAATGCACAAATCTAAATGTCCATTTGTTTTACTTTGTATTAGGATTTTTATTTTCATATTTTGTTCACTTATTCCATGAATAGTTGCTGACCAACATTTGAATATATTTTTGAATGGTAATCTGTATTTACATAGAGAGCAGCTTGTCAAAAGCCATGCCTTTATAGAGAAATAAATAAATATTTTCATTTTAATTAGTCTGTCACTACATGCTTTTAGGTTTGCCTGGTGATGTCTTGATTTCGTTCAGCTCACACGGGACTTGGGGACTCTCAGAGGATAGTTCTATTATTTAGAAGGTTGATTTGATGTTTAGCTTTTATTTAAGCACTTATAATTACTTTACAATGATTTTAGCTAAGAGCAACCAATCGTTATGATTGATCAAATCAAAGCTGAGACGTTGCAAATTGGATGTGGAAAAATGTTGCAATATATTACCTATTGTTTTAATGCATGTTGAGAAATTTATTCTGATTCTTGATACAGCATTACTAAAAACAATGTAGGAACAAATATCAACAGTAATATCAATATTGGTGCATTCTCCCTTCGCTAGAGACCGTGCTGGCTCTTCTTCAGGCCCTGTCAGGGTCCCCGGACCTCAGTTTGGGATTCCTCTCCCGGAAGTGGGCGGTGGAGTCACCGTCACCACACTGGTCACACCACCGTCGACACCAGAGCCTGCTGGGATGAAGCTGGCCACCGGAGAAGCACGAGAAGATCTGATCCGAGTCTGGTGAAAACAGCGCGGCGCGGTGAGCAGCTGGGACCGTCTGGGCTTCAGGAGAAGAGGAGGAAACGACGCCTGTTGCCAACATGATGGAAGAAATCGACAGATTCCAGGTGCCGAGCGCGGTGCAGGAGGCAGAGATGCAGTCTGAGATGCAGCCGCTGGTGAGTCGGATCCGTGGGCTGTTTAATCAGCTGACTTTGTGGTCCCTGTGTGTTTTAGAGAAGACACGGAGTGCGGGGTGTTTAATGGACGAGGCCTGCCTTTACCGCGCTGACTTAACGATAATTACCTGCCGTGAGACATGACTTAAGTTTTAAATTTTCGACTAGAAACCGTAGTGAAACGTTAACCAGACGGCCTTAAACATCACAGTGTGGTTGGTGGGTTCAGAGAGAGGGCTGTTTGTTCCTCCGGCCGGTCAGCTGCGCAGCATCCGTCATCATCTGGAGTAAACAAGCATCCCACATCCTCAGCATCTTCAGCAGGCGCTCCGGCTTCGTAACGCCGCCTGCGTCACGAAATCACGATCAGGTCGTGGGCTGAGTCCCATCACACGTCTGTCTGTCTGTCTGTTTTTTTTTTTTTTTTAAATCATGGCGAGAGTGTGGCGGTGCGCTCCGTGGCCTTTAGCGGAGCTCCGGGGTTACTGCAGCCTGCAGGGCGGCCTCTGCTTAGAACCAGACCAGAACCTCTGGAGCCTGCCTGAGTCCATCAGCTTCAGATCGACCCGACTTTTATTCCTCCCCTCGTTTTACAACCTAACTCAGTGATTCCCATTTCAGCTCATTCTTCTGTCCCTGCTGTGTTTCTGCCACCAGGATCCTGCTTCATCCACTGCTTCAGAGGCAGACTCAGACACCAGGGAGGGAGAACCAGTTACTGTCAACTACAAGCCCTCACCCCTGCAAATGAAAATAGGTAAGAACTATGAAGCATGGGAATCAGTGTGTTCCATCACCAAACGTCACAATGAAACCTGGAACACAACCTCGAGATGAGACGTAGATTCTGGAGGATTCTGACTGCACAGTTTGTTGCTTAATTATTCTTTTAATGCCACATTCATCCATTTAGGGCTGCAGCTCTACTGAACATTATTGATCGCTCTGGTAATTACTTCACAAATCATTTCGCCTTAATTATTTTTGTTGCATCTAATCGGGTTTAAAGTTTGAACAATGGATTTCAGGACCATGGACAGAGTCTGGTGGCGAGCAGGATGTTGTTTTACTCCCGCTGTAATAAGTTCATTTGAAACTCAGAATGTGTAAGAAGAGTACCATAAGCAGGAACACACGGGTCTGTTTAAACATGACTGCAGTTCTTTAAGTTCCTCAGTTTGACAAGATGTTCTTACCTGAGTGTTTTTTTTTTTAATTTTATTTGTTATACATTGGTCAGTTTATCTTTGTGATTGATAAATTGATCAACTGTTTTAAAAATATATTGCAATAAGAAGCATTTATTCTTTATTAGAATTGTAATATTATTTACTTGTAGAATATATACAACTTCTTTAATAAATTACATGCTGCTTTGGTGTGAACTAGTAGATAAAACCTTTATGAAATAACAGAAAATGAATAATGAGGAATTTGATTACACTTGCATAAATCACATATCAAAGAACATCAGGGTGTTCTGTGGCATTAATGAAGATCTTAATATCTACCTGCTCTTTAAACAACCTCAGTTTGGAGGAATAGAGATTAATTCCACTCTGAATGAAGAGCTAATGACTAGTCTAAGTAGGGCCAGAAACAAAGTCGATTACAGCTGATTCTTCAATCTCAAAACATTCTTAGCTGTTTTATGTGATTGCTAAACCTTTTACATCTCAGTCAGTTTTCAGGTTATTTACATGAGCAGCAGCAGCAGCTGTAGCACCGCTGTTACAGCTTATGTATATATACAGTGGTTTGCAAAAGTATTCATACCCCTTGAACTTTTCCATATTTTGTCACATTACAAC